AGTGGATAAACGTGTGGTGTAAGGGGTAAGGCTGTAGTGTAACAACTAACTGTAATAAGGCTGAAAAAACGAGAGTTATCGGAGTAATCCTGGCTGACAATAGCTTTTTGTAGTTTATCGGTGAGCGAAAAAGGTTCGAGTTCAAGCCTGCAAGGCAGATAGTTGCTGCTTGTAGATGTGGTCTGGTTGTTTCACGACGGGGTTTCTGTTTTCTTACAATCCTCCCGGTGGGCATCTTCGGGATGTTTAGTATATTGCTATTCCACGGGGGTGCTTGCGACTTGCTTCAACCTTGATTTGTTTCGGCCTAAACATGGATCACTTAACAAGCAAATGGTTGTGCGGTTTGCGCTTCTTTAGGACTGGCGTTGTAACAGTTCGTACCAGCCTTTTCAGTTTTGTTGACTGCAAAATGCACACATCGAAGTCAGGAGGTTTCGGGCACTCCGGTAGAAAGTATAATTTGTAGACCGTACTGCTATCCTATACCCGTCTCTGCGCCTCTAAGTTACTTTACCATCTGAAAAACCTCCGATCCGCCGTGCTCTTTCCTTATCGTCACACTGCAGGCTCACTGATCCTTCTCCGCACCTAAAGATGCTTCCACCCACAAGCCAATCACAACCGCAGCAGCCATCGATAAACGCATACTCGATGCTCGACAAAAAGATAATAGCATAAGAAAATAGGGTCGTCGTCAACAAATCAAGAAGCGAAAGCAGGATCGCTTGCACGTTAGTACTAGCCAGTTATGTTTAAGGAATTAATCCGGCCACCCCGATTACCGATCGCAGTAAGCCCCGAAACTACCTATCTCAGCAAAGCGCACCCGGCCGACCTACCGTAGACTTTGCGGTTTTTTGCCTTTCTTGGTTAAGCGTTTCCGGGCGCGGCGTTGCTGACGCTTAGTACGTCATGCGTGGCGTCATAGACCCCACCCGTCTTACAACACGGCTGGCTTTGGAATTTGGGACCACGAGCAAGCGAATATCGCTGGAACAGCAGTTTGTGTCGCTGTGGACATGCACTAACTAGTTTAGGAGATGTTTGGATTTCATGTTGGAAGAGTTGCATTCACGGTTCTGGGATCTATAATGTTTGGGGGATGATTCTCCTTTGTATTTATCTACTGGCTTGTGGTTGTATTCTACGAGATTGAAAGAGCACCTTAAGCAACCAGCCCAACTTGACTTGTAGGGACTGTCGCAATGATGAGTTCTTGGCGCAGCAAATGCGGGGGCGATCAAGGTGCAGGAGGAAGGAAATCCGACATTTCAGGGCGAGGAAGGTTCCCTGCCCTGCAGAGATGGTCAACCATTCTGTGGTGCATGATGATAAGCCGAGCATACATCTGTCTGTGCTCGGCAAATAGCCCTTCGACCCGGTCTTTTGCCGCTTTCAGATCATCCTTTTCTTTACCAAGCTGAGCTTTTTCCTCGACAAGCTTTCGCTTTTCCTGGCGCGTGAAGGCCTTCTTCTCTTCAGCGAGTTCCTTGGCAAGGTGATCCCTTTCCTCCTTCAGCTCTTGGTTCTCCTCAAGTAGCTCATCGCGCTGCTCTTCAAGCTTAAACTTTTCCGATTCGTACTGAATGTTGTCAGCTTCAAGAATATCATTCCCGAGCTGAAGGCGGTTCTTTGCCTGAGCTAGCTCGTCCTTTTCCTTATACGCTTTCTGGTAACTGAGGATGAATACCGTGATTCCTCGTTGAAGGTTTTCGCACCGTACCCGAAAGTACTTGAAAACTTACTCAAGTACGGTTGGCTGGTTCTCAGCGCTTGGTGCAACATCTTGGCCTTCGCCCTCTGGGTACGCTTCCTCCAAGGCCTGAAGTTGGGTAATGAGGGCCTCTTTCTTCTGCGTAGGACTACCCTTGGTAAGGGTCTCAATGAGCCCGTCCATAGTTGAGTAGTCGGACATATGAACGTCGGTATTGGCCATGTTGGAGACTGTTGTACTTTATGTGTGTCTCCGTGAACGGTCGTGTGGACTTAAATAGTATCGTAGAGGTGAAGTTGTTGATGAACTTTAAAGTTGTGTTATAACGTCGTGGCTTTTTTCTGGACGCGGCTGAAGGGTATATAAAGTCGCTAAGTACTCGTGGGAAGGAAATCGACCGTGGTAACAGTAGTTGTACTTCTGCAGGCTGCGAAAATCCCTTTGTTTGTACGGGCTTTGTGGGAAAAACGTGTTTGTTAAACATGCCCTAAGGAGACATTGACCTCACGTTCGTTTGAACGCAAATATACCTGCGATTTTAATGTAGCGGCATTTGTGCTTTTCGCGAGAAACAAAGAGGTTTAGCTGCGGGTGACGGCGCCGTTCTGGAAATTGTTTATATATCAGTGATGTGGAAGAGAAGGTACCTACATAAGTTTTCTTTATATATTTGGCTGACAGCTTGTTTTTTCGCACCCTGTTTGAGAATTAATGATTCCCTAGTCCTAAACTAACGTAGAGAGAGTGTACGTTGGTTTATTGCTTACTTCTCTGGTTATAGTTCAGTTCCGTTGTTCTTGATCGCGCAATAAACCGGGGGCGACATCGATGTGCGCAGCTACCTATGTGAAGTAGGTAAAGGGTAAACAAATAGACTGCAGGTAGTAAAGACTTGTTGAATATGGCTCCGAACAAGTAGATCTATTATAGAACCGCTAAGATGTAGGACTGAAACAAGCGCAGTGAGTGAAGTGAGCTGCCTAATGATGTCTTTTTAAGCGACCAAATTAGGTGCAATAAGCTGCATAAGAAGCCGAAAACAAAGTAAGCGATATAAAGTTTTAGTAAGTAATGAAGTAAAGAGGCCGAGGAGGTGAAGCAACGATGCCCGTATGTCTGCGTAGAGAACGACGTGATGAGCAGAAAATATAATGTAGGATCGAAAGGCATTTCGTTCTATATATAAAGCTTTAGGTCATCTACTTCACGAACGCATAGATCAGGGTTGCCTAATTTTATGTGCTGAGCTATTAAAGCCCAGGAAGATACAAGAAGTGTAACGATTTAACAGACTATTGGCCGAGACAAGCAATCAGAAAATCTAGTAAACAGGCAAACAAACTGTTTTCTCGTGGTGGAGCTAGAATGTTCAAGCGCTAATTTCGGCGTCGACAGGTGCGAGGTAGGCAAAGAAGGCGCGCTGTCTTAGAGAAAGAATCCGTCTCACCTATTGTTTAGCGCAACAATCACTGCGAACAAAGCTTTAAATTCCTTGTCTTTCGCGCCAACTCACACGTCAAAGCAATGAGCCTGCGACATACCACTACGTCCAGTGGGGCATGTCGCTGTTGGAGCAAGAAACAAACCAAGCCTTATTTCGCGCTCAGGCCTCCCAGTCGCCCGCCTAGGCGCCCGCCCGCCCGCCTAGTAGGAAGTTATCCGCCCGCCCGCCCGTTGCCTGCAGGCGGGCGGATAAAAGTGGTCTGTGCGTATTTTTTTT